CCCCTATTGCATTGAACCTCTTCGCGACATGGATGCTATGCCACAGCTGCGGGCCCCTATTGCATTGAACCCCTTCGCAATATGGATGCTATGCCACAGCTGCGGGCCCCTATTGCATTGAACCTCTTCGCGACATGGATGCTATGCCACAGCTGCGGGCCCCTATTGCATTGAACCCCTTCGCAATATGGATGCTATGCCACAGCTGCGGGCCCCTATTGCATTGAACCTCTTCGCGACATGGATGCTATGCCACAGCTGCGGGCCCCTATTGCATTGAACCCCTTCGCATCATGGTTGTTACGCCACAGCATCGGGCCCCTATTGCATTGAACCCCTTCGTGACATGGATGCTATGCCACAGCTGCGGGCTCCTATTGCATTGAACCCCTTCGCGACATGGATGCTACGCCACAGCTGCGGGCCCCTATTGCATTGAACCCCTTCGTGACATGGATGCTATGCCACAGCTGCGGGCTCCTATTGCATTGAACCCCTTCGCGACATGGATGCTACGCCACAGCTGCGGGCCCCTATTGCATTGAACCCCTTCGCGACATGGATGCTACGCCACATCTGGGAGCCCCTATTGCATTGAACCCCTTCGCGACATGGATGCTACGCCACAGCTGCGGGCCCCTATTGCATTGAACCCCTTCGCGACATGGATGCTACGCCACATCTGGGAGCCCCTATTGCATTGAACCCCTTCGCGACATGGATGCTACGCCACAGCTGCGGGCCCCTATTGCATTAAACCCCTTTGCGACATGGATGCTACGCCACTGTTACTATCCGTGCTCTCTCCGTTCGTTATTGTTTTACCTATTTTTAAATTTTTGTTTTTGTTTTATTTTTGGGTGTCTCAGATAGAAAGTTCTTTGAAGGTCGTAGTTGTAGGCCAACAACTTTTCACACTGTCGTTTTACCTTAACCTATCCCTTAATCTATTGGACCGTTGGGGCACCAAGCAAGACTCGTCGACCGTCTTTCTCCATTCCTCTTTGTCTTTTGCCTAAGTTAGAACCTCTTTCAATGGCAGGCCCGTCCATTCTTTTATGTTGTCCTCCCATCGCTATCTCTGTCTGCATCTTCTTCTTTTCCCTAATACTGTTCCCTGAAGGAAGGTCTTTGCGAGCCCCAAAGAACTTGTAACATGACCATAGATTTTAAGCTTGTGTTGTTTTTTTACGATAGTTAGCAGGCCATCATGGGGTCCAATTGCTGCAGTAACCCTGCCTGTAATCTCTTGTCATTAGAAAAGTTTAACTCTAATTGACTTTTCAATTTGTTAATTATACGTCCTGTTTTCTTGAGACGCAGCTCTTTGTATGCCTCGCATAGACTAGTAGTCGAGGAAAATGAATTATGGCCTATGGAGTTACAGAAGCCCCCGAATACGTTTTGGTTCAAAAATAAGGAAGACATCTATCCGCAAATGTGTTTAAGCCATCAAGCCCCCCCCCCCCAATTTTATTTGAAACAATATAACTGTATTCGATTACTTGAGCAATGATGGTATCGGGATCCACTGTGAGACTGATCGATATTTACGTCAGCTGTATTCTTCATTATCGTCGATCATGTTTTTTTTCCCCCGCCCTTAAACTTGTTTTGCTGACTGCAATCAATGTTATCCTGCACACCCCAGCAGCCCTTGCGTTTTACCCATAATCTTAAAGGCTATGACTACATAGGGTTACCAGTCTCCTGCAGGCACGTAACAATTTAACAAAAAATATTATCAGTTTGCCTCAAAGTACAATTGGGCTACAGAGGCAGTTTAAAAAATACAAATGCGAAAAAGAATTTTGCCCTACGTATTTCTTATAGTTATAATGTCTTTTGTTTGGTGTAATGCACAAATTGTAAGACAGATTTCCATACGGACAATAAAGATTATTATTATGTATTATATATATATATATATATAAACCAAACACAGTGATTCGCACATCATTAAAAAAAATCTTTTTCTCTCTCTATTCCCCCCTCCCACTCTCTCTTTATGTCTTCTTACACAGTTCCACTCTCCGACAAGCTCAGATTCCACATATTGTAAGAACTAATTAGCTTCTCAAAACTGAAGTTTATTAGGAACTATGTGAAATAGAAAATGGAACAGACAATAACTTAGATCAGACTATTCTGTCTTTTATCTTACATATTACAGACATTACTTTTAAAAAGAAGATAATTTTGCCCAACGCATTTCATGTGTCAATCTAGTCATGCATGTTAATCAATGACTTAAACTCTGCCTAGTCGTTGGCTTTCCTGGCTGATTCAGGCAATGACACAAGGGAAAACTCAAAAAAGACTAATACATTTATTGATAAGTTTGCAAGTTTCAAGTCCAGAAAGGGTAAGGCCTACATTTAATTTGTAAAAACTTTTTCATTCGTCTTTACAAACCTAACCCTATAATGTAAACCGTTTCCGTTTACAGCTCTTGAAATTATACTTATGAAAACATGTTGGCGTTGATTCTGTTTCTAACTCATTGCAGTTTTTTTTTGGTCTGCGCCTGGTTTCGATAACGGCACTTCTTTGGATCTAAAATGTGTGACTCGCAAAGCTCGTGAGAACTCTCCAGCTCTAGTTTCCGTCTGATGCCAGCTGCTTTTCTTTATGCCAGTGAAAGGAAATAACGTCTGATTCGATCTTTATAACACTTCATACCTTGAATAAACCTAACGCGGAGAACAGTTTTGTCTGTATTAAGTGTGGCAAAATATGCAGGTCAACACTGGGCTTTTGCGGTCAGGTGAGATAATCAACTCATTTTTAATCTTGGGAATAGAAGACAATGCCTAATTATTTAAAAATTCTTTGTATTCATCTTAATTTGGCACATTTTAAAACACGTCCATCTAACCATCTATGTAATCAGACAAGGCGATTGGATGATTTCCTGGGAGCGTGTCACGGCTGTTTCAATGATGAGCTGAATCCATTGAAAGATTCTTCGATACTCTATCATTTTCCTTGTACTGTAGGCCTTTACACATGATTCAATTTCCCACAATCTGATTCCCCAAAACAACAAGGACGTCGATGTCCTTGGATGTGGTCTTAATAGTCAAGCTCTGATTGATGTCAGTCATTGCGCATGGTCGTGCTACTGTTCGGTGTTCTCTTTTGAGCTCTGATGTATATGGATGGCATCCTATGGTTTGCATAGGCAAACCATCACCTGGAGCCCACAAGGGAGGGGGAAGGAAGAGCGGCCCAGGAATGCATTGCGCCGCGATTTTGAGGTTTTAAAAAGGGGTTTTAGTTTTTTTGGAATCTAAATGTGACATAGGTACAGAAGGCAGTTCAAAGGTGGTTTTTCTTCTAAGGGGACTGCTACAAACAAAAGCATTTAGTTAGAAATAACATTAAATGCTGGCATTATCAAAGAAAAAACATCTAGGACAACAGATCGTATCATAGCCTATATTCTAGCTATCCCTAAAAATTAGTTACATATTTGACGTAGATGGTGTAGGTTTATACTACTCTTTACTCTACACAACGTGAAAGTCAGCATACTACAAAATGACTACCATCTATATCCATACTCAAGATCAGACCACCTTAAGCCTGCAATATTTCAATGTGGGGAAGTGGCAAGGGTCTAGAACCCTGGGGCAGTCGAGGAGTTTAATTACTATAAGAGCCCTACTGAAGGGAGAGAAAGAGCTATATTATATACGTGTATGCGAGTTAGCCTGAGAGGTGGGAGTATGTTGGTCATTAGGGGAAAGAAGTGTGTAGTACAAGGGGTAAGATATTTCATGTGTGAAATTGGTTGATGGCCAACACACTTCAGGGGAAACAAAATATATGGAGAGAGTAATTGAAAGAGGCTTATGAAGAAAGTGTGAGAGGAATGAATAAGATGGGAGAGTGAGAGACACTAGTAAATAATAGAGGAAGAAAGAGTTGAGGACTTGTAAATAAAAGAGAGAAAGAGAGAGAGAGAGTTGAAAAAAAAATTAAGAAACTTATGAAATAAGAAAAATTAAGACTCATAAAACTAGAAAGAAAGATTTAACAAACTCATGAAATAAGAAAGAAAAATTTATAGACTCATTAAATTAGATAGAAAGATTTAGAGATTCATTAAATTAGAAAGATAAATTAAAAGATTAGTGAAATTAGATAAAAAAAAGATCAGGGGAGACTCATGAAACAAGAAAGCTTGACCACTCATGGAATAAGAAAGAATGATTAAGTGACTCGTGAAATTAGAAAGATTAAGAAACTTATGAAATTAGAACAAAGATTTAGTAACTCTGTAGATTGTAATGAAAGATTAAGAAAACTGTAGATTGTAATGAAAGATTAAGAAACTCATGGTATAAAAAAGAGACTTGTGAAACAAGATCTAAATGAGCTTACAGAGTCAAAGATAAATACTTATGAAATATATGCAGAGAAACATACTCATGAATGATCAAAGAGTTTGGAAACATTCTGTTATAGGTAGTACGATAGTGGACATTAGTTGATATTTGTGTTGTAAGAAAAAAAATTTTTTTTTGGAATTAAAATTGGTGTGAATACACATTTTACTTAAGTTATTTCCCTTTATTACATTTTTTGGCTTGGCTAGTTAGATATCACGTACTAAATGATTTCAAAAATATTGGAAACTTCAATGGTTACGAGCATGTCACATTAAAGAACAAAGTATTTGCTTTTTAGGGCATGATTAAACTAACAATATTTGAAGCCTACAGTTAAACTGGATTACTTTAACTTCTTGAAGCCTTCATGTCAAAAGAATACTGGAATTTTGTAAACATAAGGGACAAATTAAATTCTGTATATCCAAATTTGTAATAACTTTAAATACAAATATAGCAACACAAAAAATATTAACAATGATGTATTTTATTTCTCTTTTCATAGTGATCTAATTGGTTATTTTTTTTGCTTTAAGATGACATAGCAGCCAATACTTGTTCAGTGCCTAGAGATCAACTCCAAATGAGACCAGAGGTAGTAAGGCTTGCAGCAATGGATTTATTTCTGTCCAGAAAAACAACATATAATTGTTTTAGTATATTTACAATATTATGCCAACACAAGGACAGTGAAAACACTTTCTTTGCCCAAACATTTTTGTCTAGAGGGAACACAGAAATTTAAAAAACACATCAATCCAACATTTTTTCTTCTTTTTCTGGCTATTACCTGCACTGTGTGCAGACAGCGCGGTGGCTGGGGCCAGAAATGGCCTGCATGTCACAGTTTGAGCATCACTGTGCTAAGGCCAGTTTATACAAATACTAAAAGAATTTTTTTTTAAAGGCACATTTTCCTGATAACCAGAGACAGCTGGGAAAATATATCTAAGGGTTAACATAGGAAACATCTTGAGACTAGAACAACACACATCCTATACTATTTGTAATACAAAGTACTGGTTGAAGTTGAATAGACTCAAAATAATTTATCAAAAAAAATTTAAAACTCAAAACTAAGCTTTTTGAGCTAAATCACTCTGCAGAGAGTGTTATGACACAGATTGTGTTTAACATTAATTTTGTTAAAAGGTTTCATTGCATCTGCTAACATGCCATAGGCATACACACTCACTAAATAGTATAGGTTATCATTCACAATAGCAAAGAAGATGTGTAGGAAATACATGCACTTGTCCTTAAGTTGATGATGAGGTATTTGCTTTGATTTCAGATTATGATGTACCAATCTAGAAGCAGAACAAAATTGTTGTTTTTTTTAAAATACAGTTATAGAACAAAATACTATTCTCTCAAATGTAACAACATTTGTAACCATATCATTCCTAACAAATCATACACAAACATACACTATATGGATTACCAGTTACTTAGAGCAGATCTAGTAGATGTGTTCAAACCTTTCAAAATTATTGTATTAGGATGCAGGAGATTTTTTGCACATAAAGATCTAGGTGTTTTTTTAAGTAAAACTACTGTGCTACCAGGAGCTCTTTATGTTAAGCAAAAGAAGTTGCATTTATGCAGATCAAAGATGAACTACATAGGGTATCAGAAAAATGTGTCTTAAAAGTCAAACATACCTGGTACTCCATACCCCTCACCCCCAAAAAAAAATAAATAAAAGGTAATAAGTATTGACCCCGAAGCAAATTTGAAGTTCTTTTAGAACTGAGCTCAAAAAATTAATTTTCTAAAAAAATATAATTGATTACAAGAAAAAGCTTTTCAAAAATAGTTATAGTTCTGACTTTGGTATAGAGATTTTTAACATTAGTGGAATTTTTAAACAAATAACCTTAAAAGTATTAATGAATATAACATTGGTACAAACATATATAAAATTTATTTACCTTGACCCTGTAACATGCAACAGACTGTTTTAAAGGTTCTGTCAAGGATAATTACTGTTACAATAAAGATAAAATAAAACATAAATATATTAAGAAATAATGCTTACAAAATTATTATTATTCAAAATCACAAAATGAATTTTACAGCAAACTAATATTGGAATAGCAAAAATATTTTATTCAGAAAATTACAGAACTACTCTGATAGATTAGCATTCCAATACTCCGGTGTAAATCATGAAATCCAACAGAACACTTGTCTATGCATATGGAAAAATTATTTATTTTTAAGCTTTATTTTGCTTTACGGTAATTGTTAAATCATAAGAAAGTACAGTGGAAAAAAATAGTTAATTAAAAAGAAAAGAGATCCTTGATCATTCTAAAATATTACAAGCCTATTTTTAAACAATGTATGTATTTTAAAAATGTGCTCTTTCTAGATATATGGCTACCCTCAGGACTGTCATTTCAATGGTCCCGCTTAAGTTCAAAACCTTCTCTCTGCTACCCTCGCTATAAGTGTCCTATTTAAACTTGACAAGCCCTAAGAGATTTGAGACAAGGGGCTCTTTATAAATCCGGATATTTAATGTCAGTGCTAAATACTTCTGGAGGGAGGCCCTAAGCAACAGCTTGTTTTGCCTATATGTAAATCTGGCCCTACCCACTATCATGCTGGATGTTTGGGCTAGAATGTAATAATAGACTACACTGAGGGAACATGTAAAACAAAACAATAATCATTTCAAACAACCATAGTGAATTTAACAGCACTGTTCAAACTAAAAGTCCTTTATTTTTTTAATGTAGAAAATTGGAAGACAAGTGGGTCTTCCAATAATTTGTATATGTGCCTCTTACCTGAAAAGTGTCCAAATAAAATTTCCAATATATTAAGCAGAAAAGGCCATAAATCTTCAGCTACTATACAAGTCCTCAACAGAATTGCCTCGTCTTCTTGTTGCCTTTGGAGCCTTCCACAACTTTTCTACCACCTTTGGAAAAATGTTAGCAATTGATTGTAAAGAGCAGAAAATATATGAAATTTTATTGCTTCAAAAAACGAAAGTGAAAATGTTATTTAATTTAATGAAAATGTTTTGCAATTGAAAAGCCAAAATAAAACTCATTATGAAATATGAAATAGTAAATATGGCTTTTTCTTGTTTTGTGATCATATATATTTTTTAAAACTCCTAACCTATGTGTCGCGTAGTATAGACAAGTATCTTTTTCTTTCTCATAACTCTGTTTTCTTTTTTTTATTTCCTCTAGTCGTAGTACTTGTACGGGGCGAGAGTGTCTTGTATTTTTTTGTTTTGAATTGTTTTGCTACGTCACAAAGTCCGGTGACATCTATTGGTCATTCTTTTGTCATGAGGCAGTTCACCCTCTTTGGTTGAAACGGATGGTGTGTTGGCCCGTAAAAGGTTCTTTGTCTGTACTAAGTTTCTCGGACTTATTATTCAGTAGGATTTTTGGGACCCCTGTTTAGGGTGAGTTATTCGTTTGTGATATCTATTATTGTATGTTGTATGAGGTTGTCACTATTTCTATTTTTTAGTGTAGAAGTTGAGAGTATTGTTTATTTCGTTTATAGGGTGCCAGTGTTGGAGTTGTGGGCATCGCTTGCCGTCTCAGTTTTTTCAGTGTCATTGTCAAATTGGCGATCATCTGAGGTCTAACTTTACTATTACCGAGGTTGGCAGTTTTGTGACGCCAGTCGGTCAGAGTCTGGTGGACTATGTAACTAGGGTGATAAAAGCAAAGGTGCTTAAATTAATTAGTGAATAATAATATCTTTATATATACCTATTATATATATATATATATCTAATATATATATTGTCTATTTTATCATCCTCATTGTACATACACATATATCAGTTTCATACAATTAAATTCATTTATTTTTGTTGTTATTCAAACTATTCACCTAGTTGGTTACTGTATGTGCGACTGTGTGTGAGTGATGTTCTTGTCAGGTTGAACCCCGGGACCTTAATAGTATACAGCTAGTTAACAACCCAAATAAATCCTAAACCTGACACTATGTTTGAATGGTATGCATTTATGAATATCAATATGGCTAGGCAAAGACAACATAAAATTGCCCTTTCATTTATAAATTACTTAACTAAAAATTAAAAACAAAGTTAATTTGCTGCAATGAAAAAAAAAATTGATTCTTAAAATTTTGAGCACAGAAATGAAAAGAACAGCTCTGCTACATGGGTTTCATTAATAATGAACTGAAAAAGCAATATTCTTATATAGTTATTGATACTGTACTAAATCTAGAGTTAGGAGATGCACCAAACAGATTGAACATTAAACATGACATAAAATGAGACATATTTAAATAGGGCTTCAATAGGAACATAGAATAAATTAACAGTTTCTGTCTAGGCTTCACAAGAGAAACATCATAGATACAGACAGAACAAAGAATTGATCCCTTATTTTTTTTTAAACAGTGTTAAACATAGATACTGATCTCCTGACAGCGTTTACAAGTTGCTATATGTCATGTGATTGTTGTGAATTAGTTCATTGAAGAACCTGTAATATACCTGTACAGAAACACCCGGTTAGTCCAGCAAACATTACAATACACAGCAAAATCTGGTCCATTGGGTAACCAGTTAATTGGATCAACAGCTTACAATGTACTGAAACTATAATATAGGATATATCTGTGTAGCCCAACCATTTGGTTATAAGGACAGAAATGACTTTATTTAAATGTCATAACTGTTTCAGCTTGTTTAAAGCATGTTTTCCATTTTGTTTTAAACCTAAAACTATATCTACCCTGGTCAGCTGGTTATAGTATGAGCTTCTGATTGTCCACATGATGGTTAGAAACTGTATAGAAACTGACCCTCATTATTTCTGCAAGCCCTCATGAGGTTGGGGAAATACATTTTACCAAAAGTATGGTCATGGTCATCTTTTAAATTCCCTTTGAGACATTTTCCACTAACCTGATGGGCTAGGTAAGGCTCTGGCTGCCTCATTCTGGGTCTTTCTGTGGTACCCTTGTAATAAGGGAAACCCCACTCCATGGTATCCTCACTAAGATAATTCTGCCAACTTCTATTAATGTCTGTCCCATGTGGTATTTGAATATAAAGAAGGTTTCCAACTAAAGTTTCATATCTGTAAAACAGAAAAATTACCAAATCACTTTGTCTATACAATTTTGTCACTGATTTGAGTACTTCAATTCTGATCTAGGTGAAATACTGTCAGGTTATTCAAAGCTTATTTTATGAAAAACAATTAGAATGAACAAAGGTATGGCATCACAAATTATTCTATAATTCTTCTCTGTGAATCACAACTGAAAAAAAAGATAAGATATCTATGAAATTATATGAAACAGGTTTAAAAAAAAACACCTTTTTTTTACCTAAATTTTATACAAATTCTTTAACACTGCAAATATGTACATTTGAATAAAAAATATTGAGCATTCCTGTTCTTTATTGCAAGCAGGATTTCACATTCTGTTACTTGACTTTGCAATGGACTTAAAACTTAGACATAAATTAACTTTGCAACAAGAACTTGACCATGATACTATGATACTATTGCTTTTCAGTGTCACAAGAGAATCAGAATGTATGTCTTTAGCAAGAAGGGTGGCAATCAACTAGTCCATCACAGTTAAAAGATATTACAATTGGTGCATTGAAAGCCTTTTAGAACTGAATGTCAAAAGAACTAAAGAACTCATTATAGACTTTGAAAGGAAAAATTTATTAGTACATGAAATCCAGATAAACAAAATAATACTTCAAGGCAACTCATAGATATCTGGGTATTGTAGTGTAGACAACAGATTTTCATGGAAAAAGACATGTTGAAAACCTAGCAAAGAAAGTTATACAGCACATATTTTTCTAGTACAAACTGAAAAATTGAAATAAAATCTACTATCATATGCAAGAACTTGTTGATAAGGTAATGTGTTATCCAAACTGTTGCACTGCTGGAATAGTCTTAGAAAAACAGCGTCTAAAACCACATGCACAACCCTAAATATATTTGAATAAACCTTTTCAAACCAAGCAAAGTTAGAAAATTTTAGAAGACAACTGCCAGCTGTTCCATCATAACTACATCATGACCACACAAAATGGGTAGACTCTGCCATTAATGCAAGAACTGAACACTACAAAATCTTGTTTATTCCTTACTCTGTGAGACTACATTGATGCTACTGGTGGATACGAGATGTTTTGGAGCAAGTCTTTCTAATGATTATTTATAAAACACAAAACTATTTTTTTGGGCTAGTACATAATAATCTTAAATTCTGAAAGATCAGAAAAATGTAAAAGCATATAATAATAATTTTATTTATAAAGCACTGTTAACAAACATATAAATTATGAATGGTCATATTGACATGCTTTCTCCCTCTGCCCATAAATTATAGGGGAAGTGTAAAACGCAGATGACATTCACTAGTTTTCAGTTTCTACAATGTTAGAGACAAAAATTACAAAACAAACTTAAATCCAAAATCTATTGGACACAAATAACTATTGCTCTCTACATTAAAATGTTTGAACACAAAAACACAGAAAACCCATAGATAGACTCTTTCAAATGAACATATATAACGTGTTATTAATGTTCAATTTCGCTAATTGTTGCCTATGGAATGTGACGATGTCTGGGTGTTGTCATTCAATGAACTTCTCTGTGTGTTGTGTCTGTTCTCTTTTGTGGCATGAATTAGTTTTTAATTTAAAAAAAGTTCTTGTAATCTCAAGACATTTCCAAAAAGAATCAATAAAACCGTTTTAATCTTTTTTACTTGCTTACTGCTATTTACAGGTCAAGCTAAGACCTCTTTAAATGTTCCTCATTAACAATAATCATAAAGACTAACTTTCCCTTGAAATATTATTAAAAAAAACAAACAACTTAAGATAGAATATTAAAAAAGCACTAAAAGAATATATCTACACTTTTGAAACCAAATGTTTACCCTAGTTCAACAGCCAT